CAACACAAGACAACAGAGAGAGAAAAGATAGAGAAGGAAAAACAGAAATCATCGAGAGCTCATCAACAATCTTGCGTAGAAAATGTAGAATTGTTGGCGGATCAGTTCGACTTTCATAGATGATTTAGGCTAAAAGCTCATCATACTCTTCTCAGTAGAGGGCTTGACAGGAAGGGACAGGGGAGAAGTAGTGTAGGAAAATGCAGTGGCTCTCAACGGTACGCTACTTCTCTCTTCCATCTTACCTCTCTCCTTCCCTTCCCTCCCTCCCTCCCTCCCTCCCTCCCTCCCTCCCTCCTCTCCCTCTCCCTCTCCCTCTCCCTCTCCCTCTCCCCCTTTCCTGCTCTTCCTCTCTCTGTTAAGCTCGCCCACTACCTTTTTATGCTCTCCCTATCCTCTTTCACCCCTCTTCCTCTTTCTATCTCCTCTCTCTGCTCAAAAAGGCAACTCAGAGAGTCCACCATAGCAAGGTTTTCAATACTGTTAATGTCTAAAGGCAAGGGATCAGACGGATCATTGAGTCATAGAGTCATTGAGTCATTGAGTCATTGAGTCAGCACGGTGACTCAAGACCATGCTAATATGACCGCAGCGGGCCCGAGTCTGCCGGGTGGCCTTCCGAGTCGGAACAACCGTCTGTCATCTCCGGGCAAGTAAAGAAGGCATGACTCACAAATCTGAGCCACTGAGTGTACCACCGGCGCCGGATTGCGCGTCGCTGAAAGTTGGACTCGGGACCGCCGGGCCCGGGGGGAACTCGGAAGCTCGCGCGGCGATCAAGCCTTTTCGATCCTACTGCCGCCGGTACGGTCACCGCACGGAACGGCCCGGGGTCCGAGAGACGGTCCCCGGCGAGCGGCAGCCCTCCCGCCTCTCAGTGTACCACCACTAGTGTACCACCCGGTGACCGGCGATTGCACGGCGCGTCACTGAGTCACTCGAGAAACTCGGGAACTCAGAAGCTCACCGTCGCGCGGCGATCATGGCAACTTCGACCGGCCCGCGACTCAGATGACAAAGTCGGCAGGTGTTCGGAAGGGCCGCCCGCCGCAGGCTCAGGCCTGCCAATTCGGTCCGATCCCCGGCTTCAGTGCGGACGGTCACGTAAAAGAAGAACCGTGGCGGTTGGCTCACAGTCATAGAGTCATAGAGTCATAGAGTCATTGAGTCAGTACTGCCAGTGTCTGTCGCGCATTCAGTCACACGGTCTAGCCGTGGCCTCAGGCCTTCCGAGTCACCCTACGATGCTCAATGCCGTGAGTCGTTGCGTCATTGAGTCATTGCGTCACTGAGTCATTGAGTCATTGCGTCACTGAGTTTTCAACTGTCGCTCATTCAGGCACATGGTCCAGCAGTGGCCTCAGGTCTACTGAGGCACCGTACGTCTGTCGCTCCTCGGAGGCGGGAGGGCCCGGCCGCCGCTCGCCGGGGACGCCCATCACTGTCAAGGCCAAGGGAGCAGCTGTATCAACTCGACAGGTAGCGTTGGATGAGGATCGAAGACCTCGTCATGTCAAGCCTATGACTCTATGACTGCCGAGTCACGTAGCACGCGATGTAGGTAGACATCGGTTGATACTTGATGATGATTTGCGGCTGAAAAGATCCTCTTGCTCTCCTCTTTATCCCCCCTCCTCTACTCCCTCCCTCTCCCTCCCTCGTTTTCCCTGCCTCTCTCTCTCTCTCGCTGTATCTGTCTCTCTCTCTCGTCTCCTCCTTCTTCTTCTTCTTCTTCTTCGTCTCTCTCTCTCTCTCTCTCTCTCTCTCTCTCTCTCTCTCTCTCTCTCTCTCTCTCTCTCTCTCTCTATCTCTCTCTCTCTCTCTCTCTCTGTGTGGAGGAGTGTGTATGTGGCTGTCTTGCTGTCGCACCCTCACTCGCTCTCTCGGACGGAAAGGCGGAGAGAGAGAGAGACTGACTGTCCGCTGGGGCACAGGCGTCACGTGCTCTGCTCAGTCTCAAAGAGGGAGTCGAAAGTCTCGTGTCTCTCTAATCTATGTCTCAGGCAAGGGGGAGAGAGAGA